TTTTTTATTCTTGATTTTTGTCTTATTTTGGCTTGTAGAATCACCCCTTAAATTTTCTACCAACTGTTACCCGGTATAATATAATAAATACACTCAGATCCAAGAAAGGGTGGAATGTCAGAAATAGGAAACAGTGAAAGTTTCAGGAAAAATAAGCGCATAACAAATGAATATGTACGCTGATAATGAGTTAAAATATGAAGATTTGAAGGGTATGATTTCTTGCTTCGTGTAAACATTGTACGACCATATTATAAATATTCAGAATAATTTTCTTAGGATAGCAAAAAAATAATATGTATATCTCCTTTAATTTTTCATAACTTATTTTCTTGAGTAATTGTACCACTTCAGGTGTAATCTAAATTTCTCATGATTTGTTTATATGACGTTTCCAGAAATTAAACAGGTAATAATTCTAATAACGAAATATTATTAAAAAGGAGATTTACAAGAATATGTTGGCTAGACAGTTGTTTACCTTTTTTGCACCCAAGAGTGTATTTTTATATTATCAAACACGTTACAACATTTGAAAGGAATTTATATGATTAGAAATGATGTTGTTGATACGAGCCTAAGTGTAACACGCCCATTAGTAATTCTACGCATCCAGCGAGAAAAGAAAAAAGTACGACAAAGTCCATTGGCATATTTCTGGTATATTCCAAAGTTAGAAGTGACATTAACGATGAGGGACCGATTGATACTTCTTTAATTGTGCCGAATATGAGATAGACAAAGCCGCCCATTAGACACGAGTAAAGACCATACTGTAAAGAATTTGCTGTTTTAGTATATTACAATTAATTCAACGTAAGTATAAGAAAATTATATGGTGTTGTTTTGAAAAAGTGAAGGTGATCGTAATTTTTTATCGAGGAAAAAATATTTATCATCGCAATTTCTCACCGATTGCATACTAATTCATTTTTGTCTCGTAACTTTTTTGTCAGAAAAATAAATACAAAAAAAAAAAAAGAATTTTTAATTTCAATTCGACCTTTTAAATGTTAAAAACATGCAAGAGTCTTGTGCCACTACTATTTACGTATTCAGAAAGAACGAAGAATTAAAATGTAATACTGCAGAGGTATTAAGAATGAGACCTCAATTTTGTATTAGATTTTTACATAGAGATACCTGTGAAAGATATGTCAAAATATTTGATTAATAGGATAAACGAACGTTTATCATTGAACAAATGATTTAACACTGAGACAAACTGAACGATGTATCACGCAGGATCGTGAGAAATGATATGAAAAGAAAGAAAGAAATAAAGAACAATAAATAAAGTTTTTCAAAAAAAGAACAAATACCTGGGCTGTTAAACCTGCGAGTGAAGCGTACGCGATACTTTGCGGAATTAGGGTTAATCCTAGCGAAAATCCAGCTACAACATCCGAAACAGCATCGAAACGAGTGTACTTCGGTAACCAATTTAGTATAGTTATATATTTAATAACGGAACAGTTCGATTTATCATTTTTCTTCTTCGACGACGTATGCCCTTCCGATGGAACGATTTCTTTCGTGATCGCACACATTTTCTCGAGATATCAAAATATACAGTATTAAACAGTATTTACATGTACGAAACGATTAAAATCGAGCGTGGAATTTTCTCGTTCCACGGTTTCGCGGAAACATGAGAAAAGAGAAAGTACAGTAGCTAACTTGAAGAAACCGTGTTGAACACTAATGATGTACGTTAGGATACTATGATCGTACTCTGCAAATATGTCATCCTACCCTCCTCCTATCATTATATCTTCACTGGTTCAAAATGCTTATCATTTAATGTGTCTCTTATTAAATCTTAAAACAAACATTTGGCGCCAGTGAAAGAAAGCTGAATCACTTGGTTCTGTAATTACTGAACTATTCTCGTTCCACGTGAGATTCTTGTTGATATACAAATAAAACTCGCCAACTAAAAACAAAAATGTTGGGTCATGACCAGTTTCTAAATAGAGGATAGACGTGTATAAAGGTGTATGTATTCACTTTAGCCTCGGGCATTTTGGGTCAACACTAATTAGGTACACGCCGCTTCGATATACAGGGTGAACCACCTAACGTGGTCACCTTAGATTAGAGCTGCTTAATTTCTTGCTCAAGAGCAAATTTCCCCTCCCGAGGTTCCCCCACTATGCGACTGCGATGATCACGCTCGAGAAGGAGTCCCCCCACCACAACTCCAGCGACTGTCTTTTGTTTATGTTACACATTCTGCGTGTTCGTACCAGTCATTTCGTACCAAGAAACGATCGCTGGAGTTGTGGTGGGAGGACTCCTCACGTTCTCCCGCCGCGCCGCAACTCGAGAGAGATCATCTCAGTCGCATAGTGGGGGAACCTTGGGAGGGGAAATTTGCTCGTGAGCAAGAAGTTAAGCAGCTCTGCCTTAGATTATTCTGTTGTTAGTGAATCGAACGGAATTTTTTTTTTTGCATAATATGACTCAAACAGGCCTTTACGATGATTACAGTACATTTTTCATCACTCCTACAAAACACTTTTATGCAGTAATATCACATTATTAGATTACCGAATATTATTACATTTCATTTGGTTACATTTTACACCAAACCTACAATTTTTTATTTTGCCCCCACCTTATGGCGGATATTGAAACGAGAAAATATCTTTCGCTCCATCTGAGCTGAAGAAACAGTAAAAGAAATAATCTGGTAAAAAAAAATATTAGCAGAACTAAATCCACGTTGTAAACTCACGCTGTAAATTTGGAACTTAAAATTAGAGACATCGCGTGTTATCCAGTACCATAAAATAACGTTTTCCTGTAGATATTTTTTCTCCGTATTATTCCTCCCGATAAAGAAAAAATTGCTTTTATACTCGTGGAATTCGTCTCAATGACTGTTGAAAAATGTATATACTATAATCATGTTAAAGGCCTCTGTGAGCCATATTATACAACAGAAAAAAAAATTTTCATCGGTCCAATAACAACGGTATAATCTAAGGTGATCACGTTAGGTGGATCACCCTCTATATTTGCATTAATCCGTCTACACGTTTACGTAAATATACTGGAGATGAACGAGGGAAGTCTCAGGAAGTGAGGAAAGGTGGTTCAGTGCCAACGTCTTATTGCGCTGCTACTTGACGGTTTCGTCGCGTGTATTTAAGATATTATTGGTGTTCTGCTTATAACGCATCATCATTTCTTGCTTATACGCTCCTTATCATTGTATTCGATTTTATAACTTTATTAATAACGTTTACGTTAAGAAGTCCTATAATCCTGTTTTAATCGTGCACAATGGAATGTCGTTGAAATATTCCCAGTTATAACATCATCAAATGAAAACAGTTACTCTTCAGTGAACCACAAGGCTTGTTTATGTTGTGCATCAAAATATCTATTTACAGCACAGTTCTTTTGAATTTCAGATTTATATTCTTCTCAGAAAATGATGTTTGATCAAATTATTGCAAAATAGCCGTTGGTTTAAAAGTTGTTAAATTTCAAACGAGAGTAAAGTGTTGTTGAACTTACTTCATTGTTACTGTTACAAGTTACTTCATTGTTTTTATTGAGTAAAATTCTGAAATTTTCCATTAAGTTTATCTTGTTTTGTACCTTAGAACCCATTGAACAATTCAAATAATATTCATTTGTAGAATCTTTATTGTTAACAAGAATATTTTTTCGTATAATATTTTATAATGAAACTTTGCAGCAAATGGACGATTGACAGAATATGAAATGAGTGACAATAGAATAATTTGACAAATAACTCGCAACGCAAAGATGACTGTTATGCGATTTTAATAACTATAAAACGACTTTAATTGTAAGACAACTTGGACAACTGTTAAACGACTTATGCAACCCTCCCCGCAACATTCCATCTTCTACACTGATTCTATACGTAAGATAAAACTCTTCCTTCGCCTTCCTTCTCTCCCACTCTACACGCACGCTATTTCGAGTTTTTTCGTTAAAAATGGTCAATGCATCGATAAGCTTCGTGCATCATCGAGGGTTTTCGCGAAGGGCCTGTCGACCCCCACTTTCTCTTTAACAACCCCTGTCCTGTGCCTCTTAAGCCTTCGTTACACGCGTGCTTGCGCATTGCAACGTAACATGCCTGCGGACCCAAACTCTGCAAAGTTTATCTGTTTCTTTCTCTATCTATTTTTATTCTCTGTTTAACGTTTTCCTCTATTTTTTAATAATAAATTAATTTCATTACTTTATTTGCTAGTTAGAAGCTGCAGAAGGTCGTGAAGATAATTACCGTTTTCCTAGTTTATGAGGACAAAAAGGAACTTGCGGACTCCGTCCGCGACACGTGTAACGGAGGGTTAAAGCTACATAAAAAGAGGCAAATATTTTTAATTAATCATTTACTAAGCACTGCAATGCTTAAGTGTGAAATTTAGCCACTGTTTGGGACCTTTGATGCAAAAACGATTAAGTTGACTCAGAAAGCTATAATTATGTGTATCAGTATGTTCATGTTTTCAATTGTTGAAAATTACACAATTAGTATTTTTATTTATCTGATAAGCGATTGAATATAAGTACGTGTTTACATTTATAATAAATGTTTGAACACAAAATAACAGGAAGTACACAAAAAGTTGATATTGACATAAAAAATTTGTCAAAATAGCAGTTTTAAAAATATTCAATTTCAGCATTACAATTGCCTTTTAAAATCGAAAACTTTTTATATGAATAATTCTGTTATACTTACATGAATTTGAAAAATAATTGCATGTACACCTGGTACATATCTAAATATCCTGGTAGATAGAAAGAATTGTACTTAACTTTAATTAACTAAATCAATTTCAGTACCGAGTACTTTTCTCAGTTGAGCGCCTTTTTTTAGAAATATATAAAAGAATAAAATACGAACTTGCATAAAAAAAGTGGGTGAAGGAAAAGTATAAATAAATGTAATAATAATACATTATATGCAGTAGACTTCAATAAAATCTCTATGTAAAAATTTGAGTATAACACAATAACGTTCTCGATCTCATCATATTTTGGAATTCAAGATTTTTCTTATTAATTTGTATCGACACAAGTCGATTCGTTTGTAGCGTTTGTGTCGATTTGTATTACGTTAACGCAGCTTCTGGTTGACCTGATCGATTTGTTCGTCAATCCTTTCCGACGTTCCGCGAAATTTGTTTGGTTCCGGCCCAATCATTTGAATAAGTTGTGGCACATCTTGGCCGCTGATTTGTATGAAACGTGCCAATGACTTCATACAAGCATACAGCTGTTCCTCGGCAGGACTGCCATTGAAGTATTGTAACAATGCCATTGTCAATTCTACGGCGACCTCATCGAACACCTATGCATTATACAAAATGGAAGACAATTAAAATGAAATTATGATTGTTCAATCGCACATCTGTGAACACCTACTAAAAACGGTGAAATACTAAACAAAAAATCCATTTCCTCACTCCTTCAAA